ATCTTCATGTCCATAAAATCCTACAGTTGTGTCTTGTTCAGCACTGTGATCATAACAGCCCTTCAATGCCAAAGACAGGTGCAGATATCTACATGGATGGACACACTCACTTCACCTAATGCACTGTCATCATAGTATTAATCTGTAAAGCAGGGGTCGGCAACCTTTGGCACGCGGACCATTAGAGTAGCCAGCTGGCGGGCTGTGAAACATTTTGTTTACGTTGATCATCCACAGGCACAGCCCCCTCGCAGTTCCCATTGGCCGAGAACAGCGAACCGAGGCCACTGGGAGCTGCAGGGGGCTGTGCCTGCAGACGGTCAACATAAACAAAATGTCTCACGGCCTGTCAGCGGATTACCCTGATGGGCTGTGTGCCGAAGGTTGCTGACTCCTGCTGTAAAGAGTGTCGTGTGTAGCAAATGAAAGCTGGTGACACACCAGTTGTTCATACCATTGTGTGATGTATGTACGAATGGTGTGTAAAATGTATGTATGTATGCTGGAAATATATTCCCAAAATATGTTTGCAGGAGGAGGACTTGATAAACAAGTTTGTCCTAGACAAAGGACTGTTGCTTTGCCTATTTGCCTGTGTCTATCATGTAAATTGAGCAGGATGATGCCAGAGACAATGGGCAGTTCTCTTGCATCTGAAGTGAACACCAGTTATCAGGAGGATGAGGAAACAGCATGGCGTCAGCTCACTGGAACACGAGCAGTAGGGGAGAAAAACTTTATCTGGGGATACACTTCCAAAGAGCACATCTCAGAGGGTTACTGGACTACCTGAGAAAGGGGAGAGAATCCCTTTGTTAGCCCCCACTAAAGGTACAATGAGGTTAGCGCTCTTTGCGTCTATGACAGTTTTCAGAGTAGCAGCTGTGTTAGTCTGTATCCGCAAAAGGAAAAGGAGGACTTGTGGCACCTTAGAGACTAATAAATTTGTTAGTCTCTAAGGTGCCACAAGTCCTCCTTTTCTTTTTGCATCTATGAACAGTGGAGCTCCAACTATATGGGTTGCTGATGCTGAGAAGTAATTGTAAGTGAGAAGGCTGCTTTATAAAGCTTGAAGCCTGCTAAGAAGAGTCTTGGGGTAAGACAACACAAGGATTGTAATCCATTAAGCTTTAGTCACTAGCAAGCATTATTATATTTTTGTTTTATTTGTAACTATTTTCTGTTTCTATTAATCTCTGCTTAGTATCATTTAAATCTCTCTTCTTTATTAATAAATTTATTCTTATTTAATTATAAATCCATCTCAGTGCTGTTATGTTAAAGTGAGGGGTGCATCCCCAGCTGAGCCAGCAAGCTGGTGTGTACTCTGTATCTTTGGAGACAGCAGATTTGGTATTTCTGTGGGCATCCAGTGACAGGGGCTGGTTGCTGCAGAGGAATGCTGTTCCTGGGGATTTGGACTGGGGTCACCAAGAGTTCCCTGAAAGGCAAGGTAAGGACTGGCAGGGGCCTGAGAAGTTTGTTGGGCTGTCTAACAGACTGGAGTGTCAGGAAGTTGGCACACAGTTTTGTAGCAGCAAATATCTTTCTTGCTGAGGCAGAAGGGTAACAAAGTGAATTACAGTTCTGGACACCCCAAGAAAGCGTCACAAGCTCTACAAGTTACTCAGGAAAAAAAGTCATCAGGGCTGCCTAGAAACAAAACTAGAGTAGGAAGAGGGCTCTTGGGTCTTCTTACCAATCCTCTGCCAGTCAGGTTTCAGATTAACTTTTTGTGGGCCCAGCACCAAACATATTTCTGGGCCCCCATTGGAGAAATAGGGCACGTGATGGGGGCGGTGGTCCGCAGACCGAGGGGTCAGTTGGGAGCAATGATGCACAGTGCAAAGGGAGTGGCCCCACTCAGCCCAGCAAAAGGGCACTGTTTACAAACCCACAACTGCTAGACGCACACTGACCTGCCCAGCCCTGCGCTGCCAGCATACCCCTTCCACACTGCCCCCCTGCCCAGAGCCCTGCCCTTATGCCCAGCACCCCCCCACCCAGAGCCTTCCCCCACAGATCCCTATGCCCAAAGCCCCCGGACCCACTATGCCCAGCACCCCTCTCACTGACCTCCCACCACAACTGCACAGCACCCTGCACACCATACCCCCGCCCAGCTCCTCCACCCACAGATCCTCTACTGTCCAGCACCCCCTTCACAGTCCCACCATCACAGCTGTACAGTGCCCCATAGTCCTGAGGGAATTCTGCATCAAATTCTGTGCATAATATTTTAAAATTCTGCAATTTTTTTTTACAATAAATAATGCGGAAGCTCCACCATGGCAGTGGGGAGCACAGGTCACTGGCTGCATGGAGGTGGGAGAATACCCTGCAGCCTCCCCACACCCCTGGGACAGGAACTTGGCAGTGAGGCTGAACCTGACCGTAATACAGCACAAGGGCCATGCCTGCCACAGAAACACCCTGGGGCCCTGCTCCTTTTGTGCCAGGCACACCAGATGTGGGCAGGGAGGTTCAGCCTGGCAGCAGGATCCACGTGCAGAGGGACTTCGTGTGGGGGGATCCAGATGGGGGTAAGAGGGTTCTGTGTGGGGCAACCTGGGTGCAGGCAGCTCAGTGGGGGATCTGGATGCTCAGGGAGGTTCCAGGTGCAGGGGCAATGGGAGTCTCAGGGGGGACCAAGTGAAAGTGGTTGGAGCGCAGCAGGGGGAGGTCTGGGTGAAGGGGAGGTGGGGTTCATTTGGGTGGGGGTCCAGGTGTAGGTGGTTGGGGCTCAGTGGGGAGGGTGCCTGGGGGGCTCATTGGGGTAGTAAAGATGCAGGGGAAGTGGGGCTTGTCAGGCTGAGGGTTTCATGGGCCTGCTTAACAAGGGAGCCCCAGCTGCTGCCAAGGGGATCCTCATGCTGGCCCCCCGCTTCCCCTATCCCCTTCTCTGCCCCATCCCATGCCCCTTCCCCACCATGTCATCTCCTCCCCATCCCACCCCTTTCCTTCCTGACTGCCTCTTTCCCCCAGTGCTCGCTTCCCCCCATCCCCTTCTCTTCCCCATCGCATGCCCCTTCCCCACTGCTCCATCTCCTCCCCATTCCATCCCCTTCCTTCTCCCCACTCACTTCCCCCATCCCCTTTTCTTCCCCATCCCATGCCCCTTCCCCACTGCCCCATCTCCTCCCCACCCCACTCCCTTTGTCCCCACTGCCTCTTTCTCCCAGCCCTCGCTTCCCACCCTGCCCCCACTTCCCCATCCCCTTCTCCTCCCCATCCCATGCCCCTTCCTTCTCCACTGCCTATTTCCCCCAGCGCCCACTTCCCCCACCCCTTCTCTTCCCCATCGCATGCCCCTTCCCCACTGCTCCATCTCCTCCCCATCCCATCCCCTTCCTTCCCCCTGCCCTCACTTCCCCATACCCTTTTCTTCCCCATCCCATGCCCCTTCCCCACTGCCCCATCTCCTCCCCACCTCACCCCCTTTTTCCCCACTGCCTTTCTCCTAGCCCCTGCTCCCCCGCTTCTCTTCCCCATCGCATACCCCTTCCCCACTGCTCCATCTCCTCCCAAGGCTTCGGGGGCAGGAGGGAACCACCCCTAGCACAAGCCAGCAGAGCAGGCTGGGGCCGGGTTGCTCCACTTCCTGCCGCCCGGTGAGTGCAGGGTGGGCCCGACCCCGCACTCATGGACCCCCAGCTCTGCTCCCCTGGCTCCACTTCCTGCCACCCGGTGAGGGTAGGGTGCGCCCGACCCCTGCTGCAGTCCCCCAGGACCTTGCTCAGGGGAAAGGGTAGAGTGGGGGTGGAGCAGGGGTGGGAAGAGGCGGGGTGGTGGCAGAGAAGGGGCGGGGCTTTGGGGAAGAAGTGGGGCATGGGCAGCTTTCCCGGCCAATTCAGCCGGCCTGGGGATCAGGCTGGCCGGGGCCCCTTCTGACTCTGGGCCCAACACCATGGTAAATCCAGTACTGCTGCCAGTGCTGGGCTGTTCTGAATGGTACACACAAGTTGGGAAATATATATTATAGCTCTGAAGCCTCTGCCTCTTTTCCTCAAATGCTGCAGTTTCTTATGTTAAGTCTGGGGACATAATTGAAAGGTGAGTGCCGAGCTTTTTGAGTGTATTAAGTTTTATCACTGGAGACACTTGTCCCAATTACTTTTTAAAGTAAATCTGCCTTCAAAATAATATTTTTTCCAGGTCTCTGAACTGTATTCCGACTGCACCCGCTTCTTAGACAGAGTCATTATTGGTGCTAATGATTAGTGCAGGAGTTGGAAATCTCATGTAGCATGCTCTGCACGTCAGCCAATCTGTAATAATGTTAAGTGTTCCATGTCTAATTTGTTATTTTAACTGCCCATAGAGAGTTTCCTTTATTTCTTGTTTTTTATCTGGAATGGGCTAGTTCAGTCAGGAATGGAGACCAGATAAAAGCAACCCAATGTTACCGATGAACAGCTGACTTACACAGGGTTTCTTATTCTGACGTGCCTTCTCTAACCAGGGATTTGCTGGGGATAGCTATATTAGTACCTACATTATTACAACAGAACTAAGTTTACCCCTTATTTTTTAATGTTACCGTAGTTCTTATGAAACGTGTTTGCTTGCTAGTCCAGATTGAAGGCCTTTATCCACATACCAAGTTCAGTACATACAACAGTATAGGCTCCCTATCTACAGCAGATTACTCTGAAGGATCTTCATGTGAAACAATGCAATAATTCAGTGTATACACTCATTAGACATGGAGCTCAGTTATGCCCCCTGGACGCTGAAAGCTTATATGAGTTCATCAATTTAACAAAGAAATGTATATGTACCAGGCTTGTTCTCCCAAGGGGAGTCTCTGACATGCTTCAAACCAAATGCACTGCTTCAGGTAGAATAAACAAACAGATTTATTAACTATAAAGATAGATTTTAAGTGATTATAAGTCAAAACATAACAAGTCAGATTTGGTCAAATGAAGTAAAAGCAAAATGCATTCTAAGCTGATCTTAACACTTTCAATGCCCTTACAAACTTAGATGCTTCTCACCACAGGCTGACTGGTTGCTTTTCAGCCAGGCGCTCCCCTTTGATCAGTGCTTCAGTCGCTTGGTGTGGTGTCTGTAAATATAGGTGAAAGAGAGACACAGAGAGAGAGAGAGAGAGAGAGAGAGAGCATGGCAAACGTTTCTCCCTTTTATCATGCTCTTTCTTCCCTCTTGGCTTTGCCCCCACCTTTCAGAGTTAGGTGAGCATTACCTCATTGCAGTTCCAAACTGACCAAAGGAAGGGGGGTGACTCACCCAACAGTCTAACAGATCCTTTTGTTGTTACCTAGGCCAGCGTCCTTTGTTCCTGTGAGGCTGGGCTGGGTTTATCCCATACATGCTCTGACGTGTGAACTGCCCCTCTGCTCTTGGAGAGTTTTTGCCTGGGCTTGCTTTCAGCCATGAGGATACATTTTCAGCCTCATAACTATATACATGAAATTATAACCTATAACCTTACTATAACATTACTGTAACATCACTATAACAACCATGCTCAATGCATCATGAGCCTTCTGAAGACACCCAACATGACAAACCTATGGATACCACACAATCATTTTATAAAGATGAACATGGGGGTGTAGGGTGTTTCCCCGAGGTTCAGAGCGTCACAGTTTTCCCCCAGGCTGGTGAGATACAGAGACCAGTGTTAGGGGGCTTATTCCTTCACCCACTTACTTCCCTGGTCCTTCTCGCGTGAACAGTGGGCAACAATACCTGAAGACCAAAGGTGCAAACAATTTGATGTTTATTGGGGTGAACTTCCAGCAAGCATGATTCCAGTTTCCTTCCTTAGTGTGCTCCTTCCCAGCTCTGACACCACAGAGCCTTACCTGTGTCCCTGTTCCCATTCCCCCAGTTAGCAAAACATGATTCCAATTTCCCCACCCCCATTCCCTGTTCCCATTTCCCCCTTACTTCCTGATTGACTGCAGACTATATAGTAAAACTTAAGTTCTGCTTAGCTATACCTTAACCAATCATTTTACTGAAATTTAACAAACCAATCGTAACATATTGTAACATGATTATGTAACCAATTATATCCCACCACCTTAATCAGTTTACACTCAGCAAAATTAATTATACAGCAGACAGAAACAATCACAGAACCAGACAGAGATTATACAGACAAACAATAGGGAAATGGGGACTACAGTGCTAGAACAACAAAGAAATGAGGATTTCACATCCCAGCTATTGATAAGTGAGTTCTTGCCAGACAGGATGCTATCAAACTAAGTTTCCTTTTACATCTTCTAGGCTCTTCCCTTTCTCTGGAGGTGATAGGCATTATCAGGACAGGATTGTATTCCTAACAGCCCAATGGCACCTTATTTCAATGGGACTAGTTTGGAATGTAAGGATGTGACCGCTCGTTTCCCAGCTTATGGCTGCCTCTGCTGCTTAGTCAAAGGCCTTAGCCTAAGAACAGGGCCTCAGACTGTCACAGTAAGAGAAGGCCCTTACACCGGCAGACAGTGATTTTGATTCTTTCTTTTATACCTCTATAACTAGCTAAGTGATAAGAATACACCTAAATTCTTAGAGTATAGGCCTTTACAGACAGGCCTGAATATCTATATCCTAACAACCAGTTATGGGAAAGCTGCTGGGGAAAGGTGAGTCTTATCAAAGGGTAAACATACCTAGCCCAGAGAGCACAGATCACAGCCCTCTAGGGGGCAGGGAAGGACTCAGTGCTGGGAGGGGGAAACACAGGGTAACCGCAAAAGGGGAGCTGGATTTTCTGCATATGTACAGTTCTGGGGTTGGGAGACCGCTCCCCAAAGGGCCAGTCAATGTGCAGGATCCCCCGAACACTTATCTTGTCAGACTCCCCTTGGGATGACAAGCCTGATACATATCAATTTCTTTGTTAAATTGATGAACTCATATAAGCTTGCAGTATCCAGCGGGCATAACTAGACACTGCAAGACAGAGGTTCCTAGGGTTGTGTCTGGGACCGGAGATATTGGCTAGTGTCATTCAGTTGCAAGTTGCTGGGAGCAGCTTACAATCTAGAGGCCGTGCGTGAACAGCCCAGGATGGGGGTTCTCACAGAAGAGCAGGGTAAGGCTGGCTCCTAGACTCAAGGATTGGAGTGACCTAGCAGATCACTGGTCCGGATTACACCAGAGGGGTATGTCCAAGGCCTAGCTACATATACACATTGCTGCTCCAGGTTTGTTTACTTCCGAAACACGGAAGACAGTGAGCGCCATGAGAGGGCTCCAGCTGAAGGGATTGTCCAATTCCTATACACCACATACTCCTCCCCATTTAGTGTAAAAGTACATAAACAAAAAGAGTTACAGATACTTATCTTTAGATAAGCAACATGTTACAAATCAAGTCTGAGAGTTGGATTATGACTTCTCTTGGATAAAGTCTCATAGGCATCACAACAGTGTGTGAAACAGTGTCTGTACTTTCTGGTATAGCTGTATCAGCAACATCTTCCTGCTCTGTAGCGTTAGGGTCTCATGTAGTAGAAACAAGCATATGAGGCTTATTAGTACTATAACAAGTCACTGTCTGGGACTGTGTTGTAGGCTCAGTATTTTCAACAGGCATCTCTGGAGTACAGCATGACACTGAATATGTGCTCGAAAGCTGGTTTACGTGTTTGTGCCACTTTTATCTGATAGGTAATTGAAACTCTTCAGATATTAACTGAGTTCCAGGATCACAATTTGATCAGGAATTCCCATCCATGAAAACAATTGTCTTAACAATTCCACCATGTGCAGTGATTTAGTTAAATCCATACAGAATACTTTAGGACATTTAGAATGGACGTCTACCACAATCCAAAACACACGTTCTATAAATGATCTGGCATAGTTTATGTGGATTCTTTGCTATCAGGTGGTTGGCCACTCCCCAAGATGCAAAGAAGTATGTTTATGCATCTGTTGCATTTGCTGAGAACCTTGACATTGTTTTGCCGTTTTCTCTATTCGTGTATCCCCCTTTGGCCACCACACAAAACCCCTGACAAGGATGTTCATTTTTACAATTCCCAAGTGGCCTTCACTTAATACTTGGGATACATATGACCTGAGGTTAGTAGCAATAACCCCTCTGATGCCACATATTAGGCAACCTTGATATAGGTTAGGGTCACAAAACAGCATCCCAATACAAGAGGGCCAGGGGCTCGCTTGTCTCTGGTAGTGAATTTCAGCTGGCCTGACCAGTTCTGTGTACTCCAACTCACTAATGTCAGAGCCGATATCTAAAAAGTGTCATGTAAGATAGCAATAGAAAGCTAATACCATACTGATCACTAATATTATTGTGTGGTATATGTATGGAGGACAAATTCAAAATTACAAACATATTGGGAATTATATTCTTAAAGTGTGTGTGCCAGGCAGGGCTGATGTTATCCCACCTGACACAAAGGACTACCACCTTGAAGGTACTTCCAAAGTACTTTAAGAGACAATGGGAATGCATTTACATAAAAGGTAAACAAAACCATCAAACTAAAAAGGGAAGGCGATAACCTCTCTGCATCATGGCAAGGTGAGGAGATTGCAGGAACAGTTCAATTTGCAATTTAGCAAACACTAGCAGGGAAAGAAGCCAGCATGGAACTTCCTTCATCACCAGGCTCCATGTCTCCTTCCTCACAGCTTGAATGAATTTTACTTCAGAAGAATCCATTTCAAAGGCTCATTGGATTAGAAAAAGAGGGGCAAAGAATCCCATGTTATCTTTCACGTAAGAAGACAAAGGAACCGAGCACTTTTGACTTTGTGGAAGATCCTGACTAAGGGAGTGATCATGCATCTTTCTGGAAGGTAGTGTGGTAAAATCTTACCTTGAACCAAGACTGTAATTTTGTTAAGTCTTATTCTCTAGCAAGCATTTTCCACTTTTATTTGCAAGTAACTATTGCTAACTCTATCTTTTATACTTGAGTTCACTTAAAATCCTATCTCCTTTTGTTGATACACTTGATTTACTTATAATCTAAACCTGCTGAGTTTCAATTGAAGTGATAGTTAGCTCCAGTTAAAGTGATAAGCTTGCAGTTTGTCTCTTTAGAGGAGTAAACAAACCTTGTTATTCCTCTGAATGGCCCAGGAAAGCGTTGGAGATTGCAGAGCACATGGTTTTGGGAAAATTTGGAATGCGGGGGGGAGGGGGAGGAAGAGGGAGGGGTTGGAGTCATTTTGCTAGGTGTAACCAATGCTGGGAGAAGCCAGAGTGTGGCTGTTGTGTAACAAGAAGGCTACTGGTATCAGAGCTGTTGGTCCAGGGCTGCTTATCACACAGACACTGAGTGTGTGCTTGTGTGCTGGCTGGGAGTATCCAGACAAAGGTGCTATAGCAGAAGAGCATTTTAAGATACCCAGGGTTACAGGGCAGGTGATGACACAACCCCCTCCCCCCTGGTCTGGATTGCACTCCAGAATGTGACAAGGTTTAACTGCTCTTTTCAAGCAAAGAAAGTTGGAAACAGTTATGTGTGTGCTTGAGTCCATCCATTTGTTGTAATGTCATACACTTTAGAGAGAATGTGGCTGTGACAGATATTGCAAACACATGCAGTACCTTTGGGGAATATGGTTTTAACTTTATGAACATTATGTGTGTGTTTGTGTGTGTATGTAGTTGCTCATCCAAAACCAGCTATTGACTGAGGCTGGTTTGTCCTAAAATATGCATTCGAAATTGCTTTATCTATGTATGACATTCTCCTCAGAGTGTCCAGAACCATAAGCCATTACCTCTCTGACTCAGCAAGGGAGAGCTCTGGTGGAGCTTACACTGTGTGTCAGCTTAACTCCCAGGGCCTGATTCTTATTTACTCCAAATCACCTTTACATTGCTCCGGCAATTTAAAAGGAAATCTCACTTTCAGGCCTCTTAACAATGTCAGTGGGGCCCCCACTGGCTTTAATGAGAACAGCATCGGGACTTTGATCCCAGAGCCCATGCCATGAAGATATACTATACAATTATGGTATAAAACTTCAACAACAAATAGAACACAATGTGACAGAACCTTTTAATTTTTCATGAAACTGATGTCTTTATTTTCCTAGGGTAAGAACACACCAATGTCTCTGGAATTAAAATTAATTTGTTAGCGTAATAAGACTCAGCGTATATAAGAAGTTTATTTGGTGATCTGAACTTTCATTTTTGTTGCCTGCATATTGGAGAAAGATGGAGTAAAAACCATCTCATATGCTGGTAAAGATGAAATTAATTAGAATTACTGTAAAGATCTGATAATGGGTTATCCCAAATTCAATTTAAAAAGGCTCACCTAGATGTAATTAAATTAGATTACATTAACTGCTCATGTAAACTATTTCCATAAAAGTATTTCCCCCTCCTATAATAGATTGTTGTCTAATGACTGCATAATTATTGGAATAAATTCCGCTCATCACTGCTGGGTTTGACGGCACTCTGGCATTTTTCAATACAGATTTTATTAGGAAGAGAAAGCAGCTTTTGTCGCAACATTACTTTTGTATTTTTAGCCTGTGAAGTCTGACTAATGGGTCAAACTTCCTATTTGCAAAGCATGGGCCAAATTCATCCCTGGTTCAACTTACTGCTTTAAGATTTACATTGACTCCGGTTGGCTTTTCCCAAGGATAGATCTAGCCCAAGGAGTTTTACTGCAGAGTTATCTGGAGGGAGTTTGCAAGACTTAGACTGTACAGGTAAAGAAATTATTTTTTATATTCTCCTGAAATAACCTTGCTATATAGAAACAGGACTGGCCTTAGTGAAAATGGTACGTGACACTGAGCCAGAAATGGTTAAGTAACTAGTAGGCTAAAATGATCCAAATTCAACCTTTAAAGACATACTAGAAAAGTATATAAATGGCAATTAGGGCCATACCTTATAAGTAGCTAACAAAGCCACGTTAGATAGACTAGAGCTTTGAAATGCAAACCTGTATTGTTAGAGAATTGGAGGTAATAGTAATTGTATGTGTTTACTTATTTCTTATTAGATGTTAACCATGTAACCAGATTAGCTTGTGGATGATAATTCCCTTTCATGTCTTAATTACATTATATTATGCTTGCGGATAGTTCTGTTAACTTTAAGAGCAAAGATGTAATATATTGCAAGAAATAAAATTACTTACATTGTCTTCATTGTACATTGTTTGTGCCGTAATGGAATGCCTAGATAGTTTGAATGGATAATTGCCTTATGTTAATTAGTACTACTAGTTTACCTTAGGGTTGCCAGGCATCTGGTTTTCGACCGAGGAAGGGACCCTGGCAGCTCCAGACAGCATCAGGATTGCCAACCCTCCCGGTTTCACTGGGAGTCTCCTGGAATCGGGCTCTATGTCTGGAGGCTACTGAAGACAAACCAGGAGGTTGTAGGTTGCTAAAAGTCCAGTGGCGCAGCGGGGCTAAGGCAGGCTTCCTACCTGCCCTGGCTCTGTGCTGCTCCCAGAAGTGTATAGCTCATCCCTGCGACCTCTGGGGCAGGGCAGGGGATCTTCGCATGCTGCCCCCGCCTCAAGCACCAACTCCATGGCTCCCATTAGCTGGGAACTGCGGCCAATGGGAGCTGCAGGGGTGGTGCCTGCTGGTAGGGACAGTGCATGGAGCCCTCTGGCCCCCAACCCAGGGGACACAGCTAGGTGCTGGCCACTTTGGAGAGTGGCATGGGGCCAGGGCGGGCAGGGAGCCTGCCTTATCCCCACTGCGCTGCTGACCGGGAACCGCCTGAGGTAAGCACTGCCCAGCTGGAGCACGGACCCCTCATGCCCTGCCACACCCCAATCCTCTGCCCCAGCCCTGAGCCCCCTTCCAGAGCCAGCACCCCAAACCTCCTCCTGCACCCCAACCCCCTCCCTGAGCCTGGAACCCCCTCCTGCACCCAAACTCCCTCCCACAGCTTGCACCCTGCACCCCCTCTTACACCCCATCCCCCTGCTTCAGGCTCAGCCTGGAGTCCCCTCCCATGCGCCGAACCCCTCGGCCCCAGCCCAGAGCCTGCACCCCCTCCCACCCCAACCCCCTGCCCCAGCCCTGTGAAAGTGAGTGAGGGTGCAGGATAGCAAGAGACGGAAGGAGGGGGGATGGAGTGAATGGGGCAGGGCCTCCTAGAAGGGATGGGGCAGGGGTGGGGCCTCAGGGAAGGGGCAGGGCAAGGGTGTTTGGCTTTGTGTGATTAGACAGTTGGCAACCTTAGTCAACACCACTGAAAGGGCCTCTAAAAGTCTGGTCAGTGGCATAGTGGGGCTAAGGCAGGCTCCCTGCCTGGCGTGGCTCCCAGAAGTGGCTGGCATGTTCGGCTCCTAGGCGCAGGGGCAGCCACAGGGGCTCCGCCCGCTGCCCCTGCCCTGAGCGCTGGCTCTACAGCTCCCATTGGCCAGGAACCGTGGCCAATGGGAGCTGTGGGGACAGTGCCTGCAGGTGGAGGCAGCATGCAGAGCCCCCCTGGCCCCTCTGCCTAGGAGCCAGACATGTCACCTGCTTCCCGGAGCCACTTGAGGTAAGCATAGCGCAGCCAGAGCCTGTACCCTGAACCTCCTCCCGCACCCCAACCCTCTGCCTGAACCCTGAGCCCCCTCCCACACCCAAACTCCCTCCCAGAGCCCACACCACACACCATACACACCCTCCCACACCCCAAACCCCTGCCCCAGCCCAAAGCTCCCTCTTGCACCCCAAACCCTTCATCCCCAGCTGAACCGCAGAGCACGCATCCCCAGATGGAGCCCTCACCCCCTCCCAAACTCTAGCCCCCTGTCCCAGCCCGGTGAAAGAGAGTGAGGGTGGGGGAGAGAGAGCAACCGAGGGAGGGGGGTGGAGTGAGCAGGGGTGGGGCCTCAGAGAAGGGGTGGGGCAGAAAAGGGGTGGGCGGGGCAAAAGTGTTCGATTTTCTATGATTAGAAAGTTGGCAACCCTAATTTAACTCTGTATAGAATTGACTTCAAAGCCACAATGTTATTACCTATTCTTCATCCAATGAATGCCTGTTGTGATATCATGTGGTCAAGAAGCCATAGTAGCTTGCCAGAGGTCTATAAAGGAACAATAGGAGCTGATCCTGTCATCTCAAGTCTGCTTGAATCTTTAGCAGGGGGAGTTTTGAGTCATAAGGCTGAGGTCTCCGAGTATCCTGGACTGTCCTTGCACATTCTTATGGAAGGATTTGAACAAATGCTATACATGAACTGCCTATTTGGATTATAACCTATGAAACTGAAAGAACTTTTTGCAACTCAGCACCTAACCATCTCTATTATGAAACTGACCCAAGAACTTTATTCTTATCTGTATATATAACGATCTTCTGACCACAATACTCTTTCTCTTTTCTTTTTAAATAAATCTTAGTTTAGTTAATAAGAATTGGCTGGAAGCGAGTAATTGGGTAAAATCTGAAATATTCATTGACCTGGAGGGTAACGTGCCTGATCCCTTGGGAATGGAAGAAATTTACATATGATGAACTTTATATATGATGAGCCTTTTAATTTTTTACTAAACCACTAAATTTGGCTGTCTGGGTGGAAGCCCAAGTCATGGTTGCTTTAAGGGAACTGTATTTTTGGCTTCTGGGTAACCAGTAAGGTATTGTAGAAGCTGTTTTGTTGCTGGCTTGGTGACTCTAATTATTAGAATAACCACCCGTTTTGGGAATTGCCTGCCCCATTCTTTGCAGGCTGCCCTGATTGAGTAATCTCAGTGTGGCCCCTCCAGACTCCAATGGTCACAAGTGACCGGGGTGAACTTTCTTTGGCACCCTTTAAGTCCTGCTCTCTGAGCAGAGGGCAGCCAGTCAGCAGGCAGAGCAGCAGCAGGTGGAGCTGCAGCAGCGCTGCAGGTGTCAGCAGCCAGAAGGGCAGAGAGGGGACATGTGTGAGCACCTGGCTCCTGCCCCAAAGCCCCCTTTATCCCCTCCCCCTGCCTCCTGGGTGGGCACAGCCCTTCTGCAGCCCCTTAAGCACAGCACCCCACTCCCCTGACCTTGGCACGATGGCAGTCACCCACTCATAAGGCCAGCCCTGTACAGAAAAAGCAAGTGCATTTGAGCTTGCCATTTCTTATGGAAAAATGTTCTAGACTATATGAAGGAGGGAACAAAATTACTCTAAAACCTATAGAGTTTAATAGAGAATGATGTCTTTTCTGTGTTTTCCTGTGGAATTCTATAGAAGGTATAAAGTACTCTATTAAATTCTATAGGATGGTTAAAAAATCTTATAGAAAAAATATCATTTTCTAGAGGATTTTACTGTCACAGTTTGGAACCTACTGTGCTATGGACCACCAACTGCTATGGACCAAATTCACAGACGATGGAAACAGTTACAACACCATTAGATCCAAAGGCGTTCGAGCCAAATGGTCTGAATTTGGCCCATTAACTGTGGGAATAATGTGACTTTTTAATGTAACAACCTATATTTGGTAAAATATCCAAGATCTTGCTGTGACCAAGCAGTGTGAGCAAAACTGTTTGCTTGTGTGTAGCCATCCTTGGCTCCAGCAGCATTTTAAACAAACCATTCTCAAATATCTTCACACATATATTTTAATGAATTCCTTGATTTCTAGGGAAAGGAACAAAACTACCAGACAGGGGAACAGCAGAAGCAACTATCATCAACAGTTTGTGCTGTCTGATTAAACTAGTAGCTAGTTAGCAAGATAAAGACAGATGGCGCTGGATTAACACACTTCTTCAAAACGGTGCAGAATATCAAGCGCAAGGAACGTCTGGCCCTCTTAGGAGGGCTGCCAGAAACAGAATATTGATGTAATTTACCTAATTAACTCTTATGCCCTTTGTCAACTGCATGCTGAAATCAATGGAATTACACTGATTTACACTAGTCAATGATTTGACTCCTTTTCAGGAGGGACCTGAGGTTATACTCTCCCCAGGGTAATTAAAAAAAACCAAACAACTGGCACTGGGCGCACTCTAGTCAATTCCAAAGAAGTATTTTGAGACCCAAGGGATAAGGCATCACTGTCAGGAATTATTTAGCAGCAGCCGGAGAGGGATGCCTCCCTCAGAGGAAGGGAAATCATCCTAACCATTGCCTCAATTTGCTGGCAGAATTTCAGTCAGAAGTTTCTAGGAGCCCCCAACGGTCCCTTTGGGCATATCACTGAAAGATTTTGTAAGCTGCAATTGCACAATGAGAAATATTTACTTTTCCTTTTATTACTGCAAAAAAGGCCCTGATCTGTAAACCTCAAACCTTACCCCTTCATGGAGTCCCATTGACTTCAAAACCTTTTGCAGGACTTGGGCCTAAAAACAGAATTTCTGTGTATACAACCTGAATAGAGTGGGCTAAATTCACTATGGAGAAGTTGCTAGCTGATAATTTTCAATTTGAGGAGCACATGAAAATATTTAAGACCATTGTGCATCTCTTTGAAGATTTGAGCCAAGATGTATTTTACCTTAAAACTGAAAATGCTTTTAAAAGATGTGCTCCTCCTAAAACATGTTCACAATCCTGATCCTACTAAAGGCAAGGGCACAACTCTCAATAATTTCACTAGGATCTGGATCTGAACCTTAAAAATGTATATGAAGCTCAGAGTGTATAGCAATTGGATAGTTGACAGAAATATATGAGTAGTTTTGTGTACGGACAATACATGTTTGACAGAATCATGAAAGGATCAAACATTGTGTTCTTGATTTATTTTCTTTAATGCTTACCAGATTGTTTTTCAACATTTTTCCACTTTTAGACCTGATTCTCTGGCTGCACAGACTGTCAAACCTACCTAGCTATAATCAAGATATTTTTAAAATCTTCTCGCTTCGCTCACCAAAATAGAATATGTATACAGGTTTCCTAACTGTAGTGCAACTGTAAGTCAGGAACAAAAAATAGCATTTAAGACAAAACCTATGTGTTTTTCTCTCAGGTGATGTAGCTGAAATCCATATCTCAGCTTTGAAATAATTATTTAATAACCTATTTCTATAAATGTACACATTCATTTTAAAGTACTTTTCTAAAAAACCCCGCACAGTTTACAGATTCTCAGTAGAGACTTGTTAGAGTTTGGCAACTAAATTCTCTGGATTCCATCAGGATTGAGCAAGCTCCATCCCCTCACAGTTCCTACACACTGACCAGAGCATACACACACCATTCCTTTGCAGCTCCTATATACTGGTCAGATTGCACAAATGCACCATCCCCATAGAGTGACTGAGCATGCTCCAACCCAGGGCTTCTGTTTCTGACAAAGCTCATAATGGGATATGCTGAAGAAGGGTACAATTATAAAATATTGTGGATAGCAAGGGGAGAACAGATTGAAAGAACTCTAAACAAAATTTCTGGAAATGTTTTCTGCTATGTTT